TTTTATAATAAACTAAAATTATGATTATTTGCAAATAAAAAAAGTGAAAATATATATATATATATAAATAAAAGGTATTGATAGATACCTGATAGAGGGAAAAAAACTACTCGATACACAGAGATATACCGTGCCTAATATATAGAGATATACTATGGCCGATTTATAAAATATATGTACCCAATAAAAAAAATAAATAAAATTGGGTGCCCGATATATAAATGATGAATTTGAATAAAATATCAAAATATTAATGCCCAATATGAAACCGATATGGGCCCGATAAGTGCCCAAACTTCTGCATTTCGACCCCACCAATCAGGTGTCTGATATATTACATAATTGTTGATATCAGACACCTATCGTATACCTATCGGACTCCTGATAGGTATACGATAGGTGTCCGATATTCCCTATTTCGACCAGTGAATTACTACTACTATTATTATTATTATCATCATCATCATTATAATTATGTAATAATGATAATGTGTCATTATTATTATTATTATTATTATTATTATCATTATCATTATCATTATTATTATTATTATCATTGTTATTACAATTATTATCATCATCATAATTATCACAATTATTATTATCATTGTAATTATCACAATTATTATCATCATCGTAATTATCACAATTATTATCATCATAATCATTATTACAATTATCATCATTATTATAATTATTATAATAATTATTATCATAATCTCAAATTTTCCAAATGGATCTTGTTTTGTAAATTTAATAAATTAAATTAATTATAAATAAAAATAATATAAATATAACTTGTTAAATAGTACTTTTATATTCTTCATCTGTTATTTTTCACTCTTCAGAATGAAAATCACTATCATTTAATATTTGTAATATATTCTTTCATGAATACATGTTTAATTTCTTATCACCCCCTTTTAACAGGTATTCTGTTACTTTTTTCCTCTTTTTTTTTTTCTATTAAAATAAAATTATATCAATACTATATCCAATAGTTATATTATTATATTGTTATAAAATCTTACTACTATCATTTACGTATTATTCTTTATTCTCTTCAATTTATTTTTTTGTTTCCTTTTACTTTAACCCTCCATTATTGATGCATAGTTTACCATCTCAATTGTAGCATTTCTTTGATTTCCATATTCAATATTATATATTTTTCATTTATTATTTTACTTAATTTGAGCAAAAGTTTTGAATTATATCATCACATTGCTCCAGCCATATACATTCTGCCTTTATTAAATATTTGCTTTTATATTTTGACTTATAGATTAAAAATAATTCTTTCTATAATTATATAAATTTGTATTAGTTATTTTGTGTCCGATATATGTATAATATAAAAAATAAGAAAAAAAATAAAAATCGATTTTACTCTAACTCGCTTATAGAATTCAGAATCTAAATATTTTATCATTTTCTTTTTTTTTTCTTCTTCAGATGATAATAATTCATCATCTGCTGATGACAAAGATTCATCAGTAGAAGATAATAATGATAATAATGAGGAGGAAGATGAAGAAAAGAATAAAGAGGATAAAAAAGAAGATGAAGAAGAGAAAAAAGAGAAAGAAGAGAAAGATTTATTTTTTTTTTGAATTTTTTTTATTATTTTTACTAATAATTTTTTTATTTTTATTATTTTTATTAAACATTTTAATAAATATTCAACCTACTTATTCATATTTTATAAATATTATATATATTAGTTAAACTGATAATTAATTAATTAATTAGTTTACCTTTTTTTGAAATTTTATTTTTTGTTTTCTTTTTTAATACCTTAATAGAATAAAAAAAATTTGTTATTTTTTTTTTGATTTTGTTATTTTCTTAAAAAAAAAAATATTTTATTTTTCAGATTTTTTGATATTAAAAGGTATGATATTGGATATATTATATATGATATTCATCAAGAAATTTAATTAGACATAAATTTACAGAAATATCATATGACCTCCAGAAATTTATACTTAAAAAATTTAATTTTCTAATTTTGATCAAGATTTAGGTAATAGAGAGCGATTTTCTACTAAGATATTTTTAAGATAGATCGAAAGCCCTGGTTTTTGGCTACAATATGATATATATTTCATTACTATAGCATCAATATTCATGGAGAAATTCATGTTTAAATTCAAATATCTATGAAAATTTATGCCATAATTTTTCCATAAATTTTCGTAATTCTGTCAGAAATTTTTCACAGACGTTTGAATTTAAACGTGAATTTCTTCACAAATATTGAAGCTATAGTAATAAAACATATATCTTTTTGTAGTCAAAAACTAGGGCTTTCGATCTATCTTAGAAATATCTTAGTAGAAAATTGTTTCCTGTTATCTAAATCTTAGTCAAAGTTAAAAAATTAAATTTTTTAGATGTAAAGTTTCTGTAAGTCATATGATATTTCTGTAAATTTACACCTAATTAAATTTCCTGATGTAATACCTTTAAAACAAATTTAAATTTTATCGATTATTCTAAACTTACTTGATATAACCTTGAAGCAAATATAAGAAATATAATTTATTTGTTCTATTAATTATGATTTTGATTTTTTCTATTTTTTATTATATATAATATTTCTAAGTATATTTGAAACATAAACTCTATTGAAATTATTTAAAAATTCAACATATTTTAAAATGATAAAAGTAGAAAGAATACATTTTATACTTTTACATGGTTTGATTAGGATTATTTCTAATTTACAACCTAACTGTTTACTATAAAATACACATATACTTTATCAAATTATGAATAATTTGAATCTAAATAAAAAATATTTTCATTATCTCAATTCCTTTTTTTCTTAGAAAACAATATTTCATCCATCAAATTTAAAATTCCATTTTATATTATAAAGTTGAGTTTCATATTTTTTTTTGATTTCTAAAAAATTACTTCAAATTATGTAAAATTGATTTGAATTAAAAATAAAAATAAATATTTTTAAATATTAAAATTTTTATAAATATTATTATTAGAAAAACAATTTAACTATTATTTTGAAGTTTATAATAAAGCTTTTAAATAATTTTAAAATTTATATTTAATAATAATTATTCAATAAATTTTATAATTGCACCAGCCAATTAGAATTGCACTATTATTTAGCCTTTGTACTAGAATTTAGCCTTTGCACCAAAATTTAGCTATTACATCAAAATTTAGTCATTGTACCAGATTGTGACAAGATTAATTCCTGACTCAATTGGCTAAATTAAATCTGGCTAAATTCCTGGTTCAATTCATATTGTGCCTACCATCCCTAGACAAGATACAGTATATAACCTTTTGTATTATAAATAAAAATAGTGTTCTTAATTATTTTTCAAAGTTTTTAATATTGCAAATTTTTTAAATGGAATTATAATACAAATCCACAATTCCATAACAATGTTTCCACTTTCAGAATATCCATGTTTCTGGCTTCAAAATAATATTTTTTACATCTCAATTAGATACCTCTATGTCAAGTTATTAAAAAAAAAAACAGTTTATTTAATTAATAATTAAAATTCAATTAATTAAATGAAGTTATTTCTATAACCTGTGATTCAATTTTTATAATCTATAGCTCATTTGATTCCTCTTGTTGAGGTGAACATTTCGATAGTTGCTTCATTAAAATTGGATGTATATATGTCAAGTTATTAACTAAAAACAATTTGTTTATTTTGATTAAAATCAAGAAATTTTTTATAAAAATAATTATAGACTTGTGAAATAATTGTGAATTTGCAAAACAATTGTGGACTTGCAACCTTAATAATTGTGATACAGGTAGTCATTCATAATTATCTTTAGTCAGATTAATTTGAGACATATGGGTTAAGGTAATGTTATATCTTTTTTGCCAATGATAATAGCCTGATATTTAGTGATTATAAGTTTAGTAGATTGTTAATTTATGAGTTCTACTTTTCGATTGTTTCTTTTTTTATTGTATTTTGATATCGATAAATATATTTTTTCTTCTATTCATAATTCATTTATCTTTTTAATAATGATACAGTGTTTATTTTTCAATGGAAGTAATTCCTAGCATATTTTCGATTGACTATACAATTTCTTTAAAAGATAATTGCTATCGTGGTTAGTTTCTTTATTAACATGTTTGATTATATTTTATTATATATAACAAGTATTTTTATTTTTATTTTTTTATTTTCGTACAATACTCGAAATATTAAATATAAATAACATAAATACACATTTTTATGGTGAATTTAGATAACGAAGTTTTTTTGTTCATCTATTTATTATATACATGTTAATAAGGTTTTATATTCTATTGCTAAATATTATGAGATAAAGTGTATTAAGAATTTCAAATATCGGGAGGCATGAATAAATTAAAGATAAAGTTCGTATCACACTTTGTTACGCGAAAGTTTTCTTACCGCAAATCGGTTATACTACTACTTTCGTAACCATTTCTAAAAATGCAAAATAATGTCCTCTAATTTATAAATATTTTTTTTTGAAAAAAAACCAGTATAAAGTTCAATTGAACATACCAGCAAAAAATCTTTTGATATTAAAAAAATTATTATAATACAATAAACTTTTGTCGTGTTCATTCAAATGAACTTATTGGGTATGTATTGGGTATGCACATTTTTTTAAAAAATGTATTTTTCAAAACTCGAAGTTAGGAGTCAAAATGTTCGCCTGTGAATTCAATAATTTATATAAAAAAATATAATAATTTAATGTTCATATTCTTAGAAATTTTAATGTCTTCGTTTTGCTCGGAATTCATCATCATCACGGGGTGCTTCCCCAGTTGTTCTTTTTCGTGAACTATGTGCATAGAAAGATTATGAAAATGGATGCTTTTGCTTGAAACAATCATAAATCATGACATATTTCTCAATTTACCCGTCCCAACGTTCCTCTTCGCGTGAACGAGGATAACCCTACTTTCAAGACAAAGATATTGAGCAAATTTTTTTATTTTTAAAAAAAAAGATTATTATAAAATTAATTGAGAATTCACCCTATTATCTCGGTCATATGCGCCTGGATGCGATCGCTCTACACTTCCTGATGCACTACGGTCTCCGCTTCTTTCCTCTTCACCTTGATTCGAACCCGGACTTTCTACTGATGCAGAAAGACCACGATGATCGGCAGGCCCAGTTGGTGGTGCTCCGGGCCTAAAGGGTGGTCTCATTCTATGGGAAAATGGTGCATCGGGTGGAGGAGAATGCTCCCAATCATTATATTCCGTTCGATTGACTCCAGTTCCATGCATTGGTCCGGTTGGCGGTCGACCTTGAAATACTGGACGAAAATTTTGTGTATTACGATTTTCCATTTCCCAAGCTAATAAATTTTTTTTAATAAAAATAGATTATTCAATCACTTATTTAAAAGAAATGCCACAATGTCTTTTAAATTCGATTAAATATCAAACTTATGATATATCTTCACTCATGTTAAAACACAAATAAAATTTATAGGATAAAGAATTTTACGTACGCTGATCTTCCATACCGAAGAATGGCCTGTAAAAAATAAATTCTTTCATTAATTCATTATCAAAAAAATTTTAAAACATATGTTTTTATGAAATTTACCTCTCATCCATTGTCATACCACGACCTCGTCCGACCATTCCTCCAGGCATTCCTCGTGACATCCCAGGCATTCCGCCTGTCATTCCGCTAGTCATTCCACCAGGAATATTACCAGTCATTGAAGGTGGCATACGATTTGTCATACCAGGCATATTAGGACGCATCATATTACCCATATTGCCTATATTGTTCATATTACGAATTGCTTGATTATTTCGATATGAAGGATCAAATCCCATTGGTCCAGATGGTGGCATTTCTGGATTTCCCATAAAAAATGAAGGAAGAGGTCCCATTTGAATTTCCTAATTAAAATTGAATAAAGAATAAAGAATTGAGAATTTAAAAATATAATAACATTTAGATAGTTAACTATAGATAAAGTATTACCGGTGGTGGAAACATTCCCATTCCCATTGGTGGACCTATTTTTATAATTAATTTTAGTCATAATAAATTCGAAATGCACAAATTTTCAAATGATAAATGATATGTGACTGTGACCTTGAAAATCTTGCGGATAGCTTGATTCCATCCCATAATCGTCATTTTGATGATTATCCATAATTGTTGGTTGAGGACTATGCAAAAACAATTTATTATTGTTGTTATCATCAGTAAGAATAAATAATAAACTAACAAAACTTACAGTGGTTCTAATTCTTCCAAGGCTGCTTCTCTTTCACTAGAGACCACTTGAATTACTGAATCATCTTGATCCCTTCCACGACGACCTAAATAATTGAACTTTTTATAAACATTGCAAAATTCATATAATAAAAAAAAAACGGTACCATAATATATTAATAATCACCTCGTCCACGTTGTTGTTGAAACCTTGGATGATCTCCTCCAGATTGTGGTTGACTTATGGATTGTAATTCTGGTGGTAAATTGTTTACTTCTTGTTTAGATTCATATACCTAAAAGAAACATCAGAATTAAATATTACGAATGTATAGATAATATAAAATTTTATTAAAACAATACATGGATTTTCTTGCGGGAATGCTGATCCTCTCTCATTTGTTTTTGTTTTGCGCAATAAGCTTTCCACGTGTACTCGTTGAATCCATAATTAAAATAGTCCGTGATGTCAGCACCTATTAATGATAATTATGATAATTATGATGATCTTTGATGATCATGACAATCTTGATAATTATGATAATCTTGAAAATATTCAAGATCAATTCAATCTAGTTTTTTAACAATCACTTACCAGGTTTTCTCCAAGGTTTATCTTCGAAAGAATCTAAATCAACATCATATATGCTAGTCCCATCAATATTTCCAATTGCATTTATATCTACTCCAGGAGTTCGGCTTGATGACGTTTGTCCGCCTTCTATATTCTCAGTTAAAATAAAAATATACATTTGATCATTTAATAATTTTTTTTTTAAAAAAAAAAAAATTCTCGTCATTTGAAATAGAAATGAATTCACCATTTCGTTGTGGTCCAATCGGCTTATTAAAAGAATTAGGTTTTATATTAACAAGAGAATTTCTTTAATTAAAAGTACACAACATAATTAGCGAAAGCAAACAAAATACAATAAAGATGAAATTGAGAACGATTTTTTGTGATATTAAATACCTAGTGCCATTATCCGCTGGTTTCGGTTGTGGTACTGAATCCATAATAATTTCTATATCCTTTAATTAATAAATTTTATATTTATAACTATCTCAATAATTATCAATTGAAAATTGAATATAACAAAATGGGAAATTTATTTACGGATTCACTATCATCATCCTCGAATTCCTCGTCCTTCGAGAGTTGAGATTCTTGTTCCTGTTCAAGTTTTGGTTCTTGTCCCTCTTGCTCTTGTTCTTCAATATATTCATGCATTTCTATATTTCCAATTTCTCCAATTTCTCCATTTTCTCCTGAAGGTTCTAAAGGATCAATATCTTGTATATCTTCTAGATAAGTTTGATCAACTTCATTATCATCAATTTTTCTTTGTAAATTGAATATATGCAAAATTATTGTTGTTGTATTTTAATGTTTTAAAATTTTGCAATATATAGTTGCTTGATAATAACACGCACATACGTTGTAGTTGTATCTGTTCCAATTTGTCTTAAGTTCTCTTCAAACATTGTAGTTGTATCTGTTAACATTGCTGTTGTATCTGTTCCAATTTGTCTCAAACTCTCATTAACATTGTTGGAATCATTGCTTTTTTTTTTTTTGATTCGCAAGAAATATACTTGAAATCGTTATAAATTGATTTAATAAATATTTTAATATACACAATGAAAGTTTTGCTCACGTACTTTGAATCTTCCCCATATATATCAAAGAGATCGTCGTCTGATGAGTACCAATTTAACAATTTTTGTATCATACATATTATAAATAAATAAAACCAATTTAAAGAAAAAAGATGATCTTTATTAGAGATTTGTTCATAGATATTACAGATATGTATAATAATAGAATAAAATAGAAGAAAATAATAAAAAAGAAATAAAGATAAAAATAACTATATCTATGCGATCTAAATAAATATTGTTTATCATACCTTCAATCTCTTCAGTTTTTATCTTGGTAGAAATTTTCACTATGATAATCGAATAAATAATTAATTAAAATGAAGTAGAAAAAAGTCTTGAGAAAAGCAATCTATTTCTACACGTAATTTTAATGCTGAATTTTTTTTCTAAACTCGATCTAAAATTGATTCGATGGTAAAAACATTAATACTGAAAGGCTCGACGAATTTTTACCTTCGTTCTCTATGTTCGATATATTAGATTTCATTGGTTCATTTTCCAACGATCCGTATAAGAAGTTATCATCGTCGTCGTCAAATTCATTATGGCTTCCTTCAGGTATCTCAGACATTATGATAACTTTTTTGTAAACGACGTTACGTTTACGAATATTGATAAGGAATTTAATTTGGTGTAACCGGTATTCCTATTGATGTATTACAACCCATCCTAGATAATAAAAGTACGTTAAATATTAGTGTAATCAAGAAATTATTATATCTGCTGAGTATTTGAAAAGTATTGTATCAAATAGTTTGCTTAAAATAACCCAATTCTGGATTCTTTTGGTTAAAGTAAAATTTTGAATGAATTTGTTAACTGTTAAGAGCGCGTGTGATGTAATTATATATTAAAATTTAAAGATTTCATTCATTTCAATGTTTTCTTGTTCTTTAAAGAAACTCAATTTAAAAAGTTTATTAAAATAATTATCAGAATAATAGTGTAACTTAACATATTGATAAATTACAATAAATAATGCAATCCTGAAATTCAAGATATTTGATTTTTGTTATTAGATGATATATTTGTTAACAAACAAACATACAGTTATATCATGCCTTCAAGATATTCATTTTTTGGAAAATTACTTTATTTAGATGATATGTTTGTTAATAATGCAAATAATAATTAATAGTAATTCTGAAATTCAAGATATTCGTTTTTATTAAATTTTGTGCAAATTACTTTATTTAGATAATAATACTGGATTGATGTTTATTAATAAAAGAAGATTTTTGAGGTGAGAAAGAAAATATATGCAATTTCAAACTTTTATTAAATTATTAGCACTCACATTTATGATATATATATTTTTTTTAAATTAACTTCTAAAATGTTAATTCTACCTCCATCTCTACTAGAGCTCCAACTTACATAATATAAATACTATTATAAAATAATGGGTTGTAATCCATCTATTAAATTTCATATGAAATTTTAATCCATTTGATTTGGAGATCAATTCATTAAAAACACTAATCTCTACCATTACAATTATCTCACCTTTACTACTATTTCTATTTTTACCTTAATCTTTACCTTTATTTATAAGCTCTTCAATTTCAAATGCTCAAAATTTAAAACCTACTAGTAATGCTTCTAGTAAGTCAACTTTTAAATTAAATGAAATTTAATATATGGATTATAACTTATTATGTTTTTTTAATGGTATGTAAGTCATATTAAGTAATGCTACTAATAAATTAACTTCTGAATCAAACAAATCAAAATTTCATATGAAATTCAATATATAGATTATAGTTCGTTGAGTTTTTATAATAATATTTTATATTATATAAGTTATGTACAAGTTAACAAGTAACCTGTTTAGAGTTCTACATCAGTAATTATATTAATTCGAAAACCTTCGAAATTATATCGCAACGTTAGATTTCGAAGGTTATCGATTGTGT